ATATATTCGAAATACCGAGTCTAACTATTTTTTTCCAGGGGGATATATATGTAATAAATATTAAATTTTATTTACTTTTAATTTAGTTATTTTTTTCTTTGGTTATCTTTCAACATGGGTTTTAACTGAAATTGCAAAAAATTTTGTTGGTGAATTACGACCACATTTTCGAGCTGTATGTCAACCTACTTACAATTGTTCAGCTGTTACATCATTAAATCAATTTAATACGTATCTACAATATGGTATTGATTTTACATGTCAGAATACAGATGATACAGCTGTACGAGAAGCACGGTAATTGAATAATTATTAAAACAAAAAAAAAAGTGATTAGGATAATTCGTATGAGATAAAATAGAGACTTGAACTACTTTTTTTTTAGTGCAAAGAAAAATTTCGATACACAATTCATGTTTTAGAAATATTTGTGTCGGTTGGTAATTTGCTATGTGCGTGTGAAAAGACATACAGATTTCTTGCTATTGATTTCGATTATCCTAAATAATTATATTTTTGTTCAATAGATATAGAAATTTTTAATGATTTATTGTTTTTAATTTAGTCGATCATTCTTTAGTGGACATGCTTCAGCAATATTTTGTATGTTTTATATATAAAATTTCTTTTTTTTATTTGATTATGTAAAATATAGATGGTTTGGTTTGGTTGATAATGTATATTCATGTATCATGGTCATGGCGTCATCTGGGTATTCTTGGCCATTTATTTCAAATTGGTATTGCTATACTTGCATTTTATATTGGTAAGGCAACAGATGTTTGATATGTTGTTTTTTTGATATCATCTGTTGTTTTGTTTTTAATATATATAATAGGTTATTCTCGTATTAGTGATTATCAACATCATTGGCAAGATGTATTAGCTGGTGGTATACTTGGTTCTTTTATTGCTTTTTTTACATTTAAATTTATTCTTAATTGGCGTCATTATAGTCCAAAATTTCTTCCTTATACAGTAAGTTCTTTACCAAGAACACCACCAATATATCAAAGAAGAAATATTGATTATGGTCAAATGAAAATTATATAATGAACGTGAATAAATTTATTATTATTATTTTTGAAAAATAAAAACTTGTCTTTTTTTTGTTTTATTTTTCGTTTTTACATTGAACATAATAAAAAGATTCTTTTTTTTTGCGTTTATAGATTGTTTCTATAAATAAAAAAAAACAAACATCTTCTTTGCAATGAATAATAATTCAGCACGTCGTTTTTCGTCTTCAAATCAACAATTATATAGTGACGAATCTCCAACACCAGTCAAATGGACTCCAAAGCCTACAGTGCCTGTAAAAAGGTATTTCTATGCAACAGAATGTTATAAATATTTATATAAATGAAAGTTTATATATTCATTGCTTCGAATATAAAAGAAAGATGAATAGTGCTATGAGTACAGGAGAAGCTTGGACTATGTAATACGAATCAATAGAGATATCAGTAGTAGAAATTATCTTGTGAAACATGATCTAAAAGGAATGTTGAATTATATAGGATAGAATTTTGGATCTCCTTCCTCTCAACAGACGTAAATATATGATCACAGACTGTATATCAATCGTTGTAATTCCTTATTGCATTTCTGAAGGATTAAATAAAAGGATGTTGAAAAAATATATTTCAAAATAGATAGAATCAAATAATCTCCCTGTGATTAGCAACAGCAGCTACATCGTGTTTTACATTTTAATCCTACAGGGCAGCTTGCACGAACACGTTTTTGTTTCTTTTTTTTATTACAGTCATCAATCAATATCGCAAGAAGTATCATTGTTAAAATTAATTTTCGATGGTCTTTCACTTGTACTTGGTTTGTTTAATTTTCTTTCATTAATATTATTGTTCTTTTTTGTGTTTTTTTTTATTTTGAATAGTACTTTCGTTATGGTTACTATTAAAATATTTTGTAAAACCATTTCGACGACCTTTTCTATGCTCAGATTTGGATTTATATCATCCAAAACCAGTAAAAACTGCTATTTCAACAACACTTCTTTTTATATGTGCAGTTGTTATACCATTAATTATTGTAAATAGATTTATTTTCTATGAGAATTTTTTTTTGTTATTATTTCGATTTATTTAGATACTTCTTTCTGAAGGTGTTCGTTGGTATTATTTAGTTCGTAGAAAAGTAGCACGTGTTATTTATAAAATTCAAATTCGTTCTCATATTTATAAAATTCCAGAATGGGCAGGAAATCTTTATATTATTATTGGTATGCTTTTTTTTCGAATTATTATACAACAGATAGAAAGTCTTTTTTTTGTGAAACACGATCTAAAAGACGTGTTGAAGTCTCACTACTGGGTAAAAAGAACATAAATTTCAATAGTTTAATTACAAATAGTGCTCGAGAAACGTTGATCGTAAGTAGCAACCCGAGGGCTAAGGATTTACGATGAAAACATTAGGTTTTTTTCCTAGCACCCAAAAAAGGCTTTTTTGACACTTTTCTGATTTTTCACCCTTGAAATGTATTAACATCCATTATCTTATTAACAGATAAAGATTCACATATATATCACGGATAGGATATTCCAATCCACTGTTATCTTGAGATGCGAAGAAGCCTTCATTGTCTGGGACTATCTCAGTATAGATCACCGAAGTAAATATAAAGACTAATGGTTAAAATTAGCCAGAGATATTAATCACTTTTCGGCGATTTATGTCAACTCTCATGTGAAGATTACTGAAAGATTGATTCATAAGGGTATTGAGATGTCTTCATCTCAAGAAAAGATTTATGATGATTTTCTAGCTTCTCTGTATGAAGACCGATCAAGTCCTACTTTTTGCAACTACTGTATACAGGATGAAAATTTGTATCTATCGTCCGGCACCCTCACAGATCATAACAGACATCTCTAGCAACGTCTTTCCTTCCTCACAGATCTAGGAATATGCCGAGGCTGTCGAGGTTGGAACGGGATCGATTAGAAGATTTTTGCTAAAAACGACCGGATTTTGAGAGTTGACGAGCAAAAAAGAGTAAAAGAATGGTAAAGACATATGTCATAAAGTAAATAGAATAAAATAATCTTCGTGTGATTAATAACATCAGCTACATTGTCTTTCACATTTTTTTTGTTTTGTTTTGAAAATAGGAGTTTTTCTATTTGTTCATGGTGTTAATTCATTTTTAACAAATGTTGGCAAAGTTTCTGCTGGTCGTCTTCGTCCACATTTTATACCATCATGTTTTGAAAAATATACTTATAAAGAATTTTGTACGGATGCTAATCAATGGATTGTTAATTATACATGTATTGGAGAATCAAGCATTGTTGTTAAAGAAAAAGATGGAGCTTATGATATTCGGTAAGTTTTGGGTGTACGCATTGTCTTCACTGACATCCACATCCTAAATATTTTATTTTCTAATATAAGCTAGTGCTCGTACAGTTTATTCCATAGTTTTCAATATAGAATTCTATACTTTTTATTATAATCAAACAATTTTCAGAAATGAACTGTGTGATGATTTTTATTTTTCATCATTTGAAAATATTAAATACATAATAAACAACGACTAAGTCTATTGAATTTTATCTTGAATGAATAATTTCAAACGATAGAATCATTATGCACTTTAAATATTTTCTATTTCTATTAGACAATCATTTCCATCAGGTCATGCATCAACAGCTTTTTGTGGATTAATTTTTTTGGCTGTAAGTTTTTGCTTTTCAAATTATTCTATTGTTCTTTTTTTGTTTCTTTTAATTTTTAGCTTTATATTCATAAAGTTTGGAATTATCGTAATATTGGTTTATTTCCATATGTTATAGAAATGATTTGTTTTGCTGCAGCTTCATATATTGGTTAGTTGTTGTCAATAATCAATTAGATCAAATTTAAAAGTTATTTTTCTTTTTTTTTTAAAGGTATTACACGTATTACGGATAATCGTCATCATCCTACGGATGTTCTTAGTGGAGCTATTTTAGGAACTATTATGGCTGCTATTGCTGTATGAATGTTTTGTCTTTTTTTTAAAGGATCCTACTGGATTAGATGACCTATTTAGAATTGAGAAACTAAATATACCATGTTGTAGAGCAAGTCGACATGCATCAAATGGTATATATGATAAATCTTCATAAAATTTACAAATAGATGACTACGCATCCAAAACATAATCAGTTATTGATTATTATGGTTCTCGATACTTGGCATCTCCGATCATCCTATCTTTGATAGAAAAAAAAATGCAATTTTTCAATGGTTTACCATCATTTTTTCACTAATAACAACTTTCCGAGTCTTCAATAGTGCAACCAAACTTTCTCAGAAATTGCTCGCAATGCAGCACTACAAAATACACTACTTAGAAGTTCTTCAAAGAAAGTGTATAGTACTCAAAATTGCCCTTGTATTGAGAACTCTTAATCAATTTTTACATCAGCTTTCTTCTTTTGACACTGTACTTCAATATTTTGACAATCAAAAGGTGATTCTGGTGCGAAATCAACTTGATATTTAGAATCAGCATAACAAACTATATTGAATGGTGTATATTTTAACTAAAGATTTTTTTTTTCGGCAAAATTCGACCAGACTTCCCCAACTATTTTTTTTCATGAATTTTGCCAGAAAAAAATATTTAGTCGAAATACACGCTGTTCAATACAGATTGTTATGCTGATTCCGAATATCATGTTTATTTCGCATTAGAATCAACTTTTGATTGTCAAAATATTGAAATACAGTATTACAAGAGAAAAATTGATTAAGAGTTCTCAATACAAGGCAATTTCGAGTACTATACACTCATTTTGAAGAACTTCTAAATAGTGTATTTTGTAGTGCTACATTGCGAGCAATTTCTGAGAAAGTTTGGTTGCACTATTGAAGACTCGGAAACTCATCATTAGTGAAAAACAGTGATAAATCATTGAAAAATCACTTTTTTTTTTTCAATCAAAGATAGAATGATCGGAGATGTTAAGTAATGTTCCACAAAAGAGCAAGTGATTCATGATCCACTTAATGTCTTTCTACTTCTAAAATCCGATCAATTTCACTAAGTATACGTTTGTTTGTTGCTGATGACGTTGGAATGAACGCAATGTTTGTCCCGAACGTCATAATTGTGGATACATGCATGAATGCTTTTTCCATCATTCATTTTCCTCTTCATGTATTCAGTTACTTCACCATATGATTCAGCATTATTTGTAGATGAATGTTCATTAAGAACGAATTCGATTAGTAAAATAATATCGTTTTCCATTTGTGTGACCTATTTTCAAGTACAATAAATTGTTCAATGGTTATCAAACCACGTTTTACTTCTATACTTGTATATAAATAGGAGTTTGAAAAAGAAAAAATATTTTGAAAAATCAAGATCTCATAACTTTTCGGATCGGGTCGAGTCCGGATATGAGATCATTTCGGGGACCCAAACCAGTCCAATTGCATGACACTAATGTTAATTATATGAATTTGTAGCCCGTGAAAAGCTATACATCATTCGACACGTCTCGACTTGTTGTACAACATCGTATATTTAGTTTCTCAATTCTGAATAGGTCATCTAATTTGATCGAATCCTTGATATATTTTTTTTTTCGCATAATTTCTTTAGTTTCGCTATGTGGTTCGTTCATTTAAACGGTCAGTTTTAATGGATCTTGGTAATGGACCAACAAACGAAGAAGTAGTACTTGGAAATATGTAGTAATTTATGCAATATGTTATTCGATATAAATATTTTTATTCATGCAAGCTGTAGTGAAATTATAGTTAATCTTGCAAGGGCTTTTATTATTTTACATTGAAAAAAAAAACACACTTAATTGCAATTATTTACTATTGCATGTTGATAACGATTGTTATCTTAAACACAAATTTTCTTTTAAAAAAAAATAAATTTATTGGTTAACATGATTATTCAACGAGGTTTTTATAATTGAAAGTAAAAAAAAGTAATAAATTTCATATTTATAAACATAATAACTAGATTCAAAAAAAAAATATTATTTCATTGTATTTATTTTGTTTTTTTTCTTTAATCGTTTCTGAAATATTTGATTTAAAAAGAAAATTACTTTGAAAATATGTCAACAATATACCATAAGTTTATAATTAATATGTTGAAATATAATTGAAGTATTTCAATTATTATAGAAATGTTGTTTAGCTTTAGACTTATTTCCTAGATACAACAACGGAACACAATCATTAACAAATACAAATAAACATTATCAAATAGCACGATTGCTGAAATAAAAAATTTCTAAAACAAGATCATTCATCAATATTTTCTATACACAAATTTAATTGTGATTATATATACAAATGTTCGTTTTGTTTTTTTTTCTTCTTGGTTAATAGAGATGATGACTGTTTCTTTCGTTTCATCCACTTACATTCAATATGCATTAATTCTAGAGCTTTTTCTCTTGTCGGTTGATCTAATTGCATTGAACAGCAGACATACAATGATGATTCGAAATTACTCTTCGTTGATATACTGGCACTACAATACGCTAGACAGTCATGACAATTTGTTGTGTTATATGTTCATGCATATAGAAAAATCTAATTGTACTTGATTGCTCAATAGAACGGCTATGCGTAAATGAATAAGTGTATGTTTAGAATAACTATAATCGTTCCTGCCACTATAAAATATAGTATTAGCCAGTTGCTTAATGTAGATGATGATTATAATCTTAATGCTTATTGAAATTTTCTTTTTTACTTAAGATTAACGTGAATTGTTCTCTTATATGCATATGTATGTATACAACGTATCTAATTAGTATTTGTTTTTTTTTCTCTTTTGAATAACAACAAAATAAATTGAGTATCTTAATAATGAATGTCGTATGTAGTGAATAAATTTTTGGGATTTTGTTTGAATATATATGAACAAAAACAAATGAATTTAACCTTTCTTCTTCGTTTTTATTTTTCTTTTGTCTTTCAAAAAAAAAAAAAAGAAGACAACAAATAAATACATACACTCATTATTTTCAATTGTCCATGTAATAGATAGTCTAGTTGTTGGTTGAAAGAAAAATATCTCATTACATAATATAAAAAGAAAATAAATAAAGTAATTTCAAACTTTCATACAATCATTCATTTTTTTTTTTTTTGAATGATTGAATTAGTAAGTGAAAAGAAAAAAAAAACAATAAACTTCTCTAATTTCATTTTCTTATCTAATAAATTTTTTTATTTAATTTCGATGATTATCAATCATCATTACATTCAGTTTTTCTTTTTTTATTATCATCATTCTATGTTACGTAAGTAAATCATACTTATGTTTATTTTTTATTTAGACTATAAAACTACTAAAGAAAAGAAGAATAGCAACTTAATGTTTGGATTGTTTAACAATGACCTTCTTTATTATTGGATAATAATTGAAAATATTTTTTATATTTCATGGAGTTTTTATCATAGTCTCTTACGTTTTCTTTCTTCTATTTGTCTTTGTTTCCTTGTTGCTTGACAAATGTAACAGTAGTTTCCTTTTTTTCTTCTCCTCAATTCTCTATTTAGCATGCTTTACAGACATAGTCTCTCTCTCTCTCTCTCACTCACTCATACTCATTTTCTTAGCATCATGAGTGTCAGCCTAGAAGCACAATTTTTTTCTTGCTCTCGTTCTCGTCTTCATTTTTTTGCTTCTGCTTCTTCTCAAATAAACCACAAAATTTGTAGCTTCCAAGAAAAAAAAAAAAATACCCCATTCTTCTCGTTTTTTTTTCTGCTCTTCGCACGTCTTCATATTGTCGTTCTTTCGCTTTTTTTTTTTTTTTCTTTTCTCCTTTTACTACTCTTGTTACTGGTTCTCTTCTTCTTATCATCATCCGTGAATGATGATGACTATTACATACATATTCGTGCGTGTTTGGTGTACACATGTATGTGTCTGTCTGCTTGTCTGTTCGCCTATCAGCATCTTCAACATTCATTCGAGCACATCTATTCAATAAAAAAGTTATTCCGATCAGGTATGACCTTACACACATATATATACATTTGTCATCTTTTAAATGATTTTTTTGTATTCTTTTATTCGAGAAGCCATATTAAGTTAATGTACGATTAACGTGTATATTATATTTTCATAAATTTATTCTTATTGTAATAACTCATGCGAGACACATACGTTAGACAATAAGAAAAAAAAACATAGTAGTCCACTGCTAACAGAATTTTTTCGTTCTATGCCTATTATTTATAAACTAGCGGTTGAAAAACGATTACGAAGATTTTTTTTTTTGTTTTTTTGAATAACAGATGATGACCATGACACATTATGAAATGTATACATACGCACGTGTGTATATTGTGTATCTATTTTTAAGCGAGATTATGTTAATAGGTGTATGTGAATGAGAACGTGATGATAAATACACTTATAATTGTAAGAAGGATATGTATTTAATACGATATGGTCATATTATGATTTTAGCTTACGATTTGTCATATATTTTTATTCGTAAGATACAGAGAATAAATAAATAATTCTTTGTAATCATTGCAATTATATGTTCAAAAAAAAAACTATATTTATAAAACGAATGAAAGTATTTCTATTAAACATTTCAATTTGTATCGTATTAGTAATCTTGATAATTCTTTTACTTTGAGATACAATCTTCGAACAATTACTTTATAATAACAGTTGTTCCATTTTTTTTTTCTTATAATTTAATTGAAAGCGATTACGATAGAAAAAAAGAAAAAGAGAAGTTCATGCTTATACATATTTCTTCACTTTAATAAATTTCACACCATTTTCAAGAGTCTATTCATCTGTTGCTCAAGGACAAACGATATCAATTATTTTCAACTAGAATGGTTTCTATTGTCATTCATTTCATCTAATATTGAGTTTTGATGTTGCTGTACATATGTACATCATCTTACACCTTATTCCCACATAGACATACTCATATACAAAAGTCAATATGATTGACTCATTTTCTCACCATATGAGAATATGTTAAGATTGAATATCGACAATAGGTATATATATATGTATATCGACATATGAACAAGCACGTACACAATGAGTGCTGTCAAATGAATCATGATAACTTCAATAGACACTAATGAACGCCTAGTTATTCGTATGGAGTAACAGCAACAATTTTTAATGAAGTCTACCTTGAAATGTATGCGACACAATATAAAGGAAACAGTTGATTTCATACAAGAAAATGAGAAAGACTTCGTAATAGTATACATATACATATACGCATTGGCGTATACGATGAACATAATGAAGCGTATCGAACAACGCCTTAACTTTCATTAACTCTATATGTATATAATAAGTAAAAGTTTGTTATAATTACATATTTTCATTTTTTACAAACAAAAACATACTTATATGAAAAAAACAAATAAGCAAAAAAAGGAAAAAGATATCAAATATACAACTAAAAAACAATGAAGAAAATGATCACGTAATAACAATAATACAATACATATATACAAACTGTTATCGATTCCATTAGTTCCATTTAAAGATGATGGTAACACTAATAGAAATGGCTCTGTTAAGCAACATATATATATATATATATGTATATTTATATACATTTATGCATATATATGCATAGGTAGAAGGCTCTTGAGAATCGGATGGAGTGACATTGTTCTTTTCTTTACTGCCACCTTACACTACTTGTTGCCGTTAGGCTTGTCATACATATAAATATTCTCCTTTCATTCTTCTCTCTTTTTTTTTCACTTATTTGCTATGCAAAAGACAACAAAGTTAAATGACTGTGATGAATATTAATATAAATATCTATAAAATAAAAATAAAAAAAACGTAAGATTAGAAAAGAAAAGTAATATTTATTTTTCTCTGCGGTTATAGATTGAAATTTCCGTTCAATAAACTCTTATATTGTCTAAACTCTTAAGGCTATCTATCACATGTTCTACTTGCGTAATAGTACGTATCCCAGAAGAACAAGTTTCCTACTTTCGAATGGCACGTTTCTTTTCTAATATATAAACAGATACTGAATAGATTTAAAGAAGTCTCATAGGATTCAGATATATAATCAAGACTAAAACAAACAAACAAAAATCGTTTGAACTTATAATTTTTCAGATGAAAGTTAGCATTGCTATTTATATAAGATTTCCTAATAAAATAAAAACTTCTTTTTTTTTTTTGTCAAACTATTGAGTTTTGAAAGAAATCTTGATGTTAATTTGGCAAGGATAACTATTTAAAATTCATCAACAAAAATTGTAGAAGAATCATGAGACTTAGTAGAAGGACGTATACCCGTTACTTGTATGTTGCATAGACTATAAATTTGATACCTTTCTAACCTTGTAATCAAATCTTACAATTGAAATTTTAACATTAATCTTCATTTCTTTTTTTTACTTTTCTTAGCTAAATGAATATATCAATGTCATCAGTTAATTCTGTTCAATATCCATTAAATTTTAATGATAATAATATTGAGAATCATTCCCTATCATCACCATTACTTCCATTAAATGATGTATGGATACTTCCAATATTTATTCTTTGTTTATTTGGTATATTATGTACAATAATAATATCATTTTTATTTATATATTTATCATATCGTCGTTTGAATGGTCATTTTTTATTAACACATTTATTTATATGTTTTAGTGTATGTTTTATTTATATAATAATAATCATTTTTTTAATACGTGCTAATGAATTATTTTGTGGTTTAAGAGAATTTTTAACTCAATTTGTTTATGTTTTATTATTTTCATCATTATTATGTCGTTATATAATGCAATGGTTAGGTTCAAGAATATTATCAAAACGAACAAAACAATTAACATCATTATTAATATATTTATTACTTATATTTATACAAATACCAATTGGTATTTTATGGTGGTATTTTACAATTCCACGTAGTTGTCAACATCGACAAATGAATATATTAATATCATCAGCAGAAATTCCAGAATTTATATTTGATTTTCAAAAATCAATTATATCATCATCATCATCATCTATAAAATCATGTTCAAATCGTTGTATTGTTGATTATCGTTTTTATGCAACATTTACTTATACAATATTAGAATTATTTTTTTGTACAATAATTGCTACATGTTTATTTTTCTATCGTTGTTGTCATAGAAGAAATAATATTGAAAAAGATAAAAATGATAAAATAATATCAATTAATGATAATAATTCAATATTAACATTTTTAAATATGTTTGCATTTTTTTTTATTGATCTTATTTGGTTATTATGGTCATTTATATATTATTTTACACATCCATTTTTTATATTTCCATCATTAATTATAAGTATGTTTATAATAGCAACAATATGTTTAATATTTATTCTTCTTCCTCAAATTTATTATTATTCAAAAGTAAAAATAAATGATATAGATACATATAAATCAAAAATAACAAATCAATCAACAACATTATATAGTAATAAATTAGCATCAACAAATGATATACATGATCAAGAATTACTTCTCAATGAAAATATATTGAATGAAAAAAAAATTCATGAAAAAAATCTACAACAAACTTTATCAAATGGAAGTGAATTATCATATGAATTAGGTAGTAGTGGAACATTTTTACCAATAACACGAACACCAAAAGGACCATTTAAAGTAAAAACAAAAGATAAAATAGAATCTAATGAAAAACTTGATAAACTAATCGATAAAGAACATCAATATACACAAACTATTTCAAATAAACAAAATGAATTAGATACAAATGAAACAAAAGTTAATGAAACAATATCTAATACAATCATTCAAAAAGAACAACGATTACAACCACCTCTTGCACCATTACAACGACATGTAAGTTTTCAAAAAAATCTTATACAAAAAAAAATTCATCGATTGGAATGTTTACAATCTTCAATTGATAAAATTTGTTATCTTTCTTATTCTTGTTTTCATAAGAATTGAATAAGATATTGTTAAAAGTTTCTTTAATTATTGAACTTTTTTTTTTCTTTCTAGCCAACATCAAGTAGCATTGCTTCAGATTTTGTAACACATGTTGTACCAACTGGTCCTCTTATTCATCGATCTGATTTATATAGAAATGCAAGTTTTGATGTACGTCCATCATCATCATCAATGTATTATTCATCATATCCTCCTCCACGTCGTGATGAAACTATTATACCAATTTTATGTAATACAGAACGTCCACGAACATCAACACCTGTTCAAATGCGTATACTTGTTAATTCACCATCATCATCTGTACCATTAACACGTCGAATGCATTCTGGTTCTGATCTTCGATATGTTCAACATCCATATCAACATATTTATCCTCCACCAACAACACCTCCTTATTATTCACCACAACCACAACAATATCTTTTTGTTGATCCTTATCGAACAACACGTACACGTACAGGTGATAATTTATGGCATTCAACTTTATTACAACCAGGTTCTACATTACAACGTTATCCATATCCATATCGTCGATATCATATGGATCATCGTTCATTATCTCAACGTTTATGGGATATTGATAGTGGTGATGATGAAAATGAAATTGAAGAAGATATTATTAAAATTGCTGGTCGTGTAACACCAACTAAGGAACGTTTATTTGATTTTCGTTCAAATGATTTTGATAATGAACATAATATTTTATTACATATTAATGATGATAATGAAGAAAATTTATATGGAAAACAATATGCTGATGTTTAAACAATTGATTTTGTTTTGTTTTGGAGTTCTATTTTTGATGTTAAGCATCAATATAGAAATATGATTGTCATGATGATTTGTTTTTGTCACTTTTGTGTGTGTGTGTGTGTGTTTTTTTTCTTCGAACAGTGCAATGTTTTCTTTTGTTTTGTATTTTAATTAGTTTATTATTGTCAATATCTGTTTTGTCAACTATTTTAACAGATTAGCAAATGAGTTTATCAGAGAAACAAATGTCGAAATATTGATCGATGTTTGATGATCAATATTAAATTTTTTCGATGAATATCTTTTTTTTTCTTTTAAACATTACTCTTCACAATCAAACTGGTATTGCTGCTGTATCGAAGATTTTATTTCCTGGAAAAAGTTTTATCTTAGCTGCTTAGATCGAAAGTTTATTGCATGTTAACCATAGTTTTTCTAGTATATCCGTTTGCAAAAGAAGCTAAAAATAAATTCGATTTCTTGGCATCACAATTCATTGGAAAAAAAAGATCATTCAATTTTGATCTTTCCACAGTAGTGAATTCTGATGTAGACTTCATCGTTTAGCATCATGAGATTAAAATAAGAGATCAGTTTTTGTGTTCAATTTTTCAACTGACTAAATCTTTCGATATGTAGGTGATCAGGATGTTTTTTTAGCTGTATCTCATCAAATTGAGACAGGTGATAATATCAATTTAATTAAAACTTAAAATTTGTAGTGTAGTATCTCGCACGGATACGACTTTTCGTAACCGGGTTTGAATAACTGTATCCGGACCAAAGTTAATTGACATCCAGTAAACACTTTCAATACACTCTGATAGCCGAAAAATTGAATCTAAACATTGATCTCTTATTTTTATTCAATAATGCTAAAAGATAAAATTGATTGTTGAGTACTATCGAACGATGTCTTGATCAGAAGTCAATCAGAATTTACTGCTCTGAACATTAATATCTTTAACAACTAACAGACATTTGTGATAGTTATTAATACTTTCAAGTTGGTATATGTGTGACATCTGTATTAAATATTCGATTTGTTCGATGATATATATCTCCCTCCTTTTGAAAAGTTTTATATCTTTTATTTATTTTTGATTCAAAATAATAATATGGCTGTATCATGGACAATGATGCTTCGAAAACATCATGGTATATTAATTGATTCTGAAATTTGTAAATCAATATTTAAAGCAATTCATCAACCAACTCAACAAATAATTTGCGTGTAATGATCCAAAAGATATATATATATATATTTATTTTTATTAAATTATTTTCTAGAAAAAGTCTTCCACTTCTTAGTTCATCATCAATTAATGAAATTTATCTTCTTCGTAGTATACTTCCTAATGATAATAATCATCATAATATACATCCAAATATTTTATCCCTTTTATCAATTAAATATTTACCATCATTATCATTAAATAATTCGATTTATTTTATATTTGATTATGTACATAATCGTGATTTAGCAACACATGGTTTATTATATGGTGGTACAGAAAAACAATTAACTAATGAACAAATACAAACATATTTATATCAACTTGTATTAGCTATTATTTATTGTCATGATCGACTTGTTTATCATTGTGCTATTGAATTAAAACATTTACTTATAACACGTACAGGACAACTTAAATTATCGAATTTTGAATATGCTAAACATGCAGTATGTCCAACAATGACAATTGATATACAAGATGTATGTATTTAAATAGACTAAATTGATATACATGAAAAAACAAAAGAAAAAATTTTTTTTTTCTCTTTTGCTTAAATTAGCTTTCATGTTTTTCTCAATGTCCACCAGAATTACTTCTTGGTGATCGAACACTTAATAGTTCATTAGATATGTGGTCAATTGGTTGTGTTTTTGCTCAATTATGTTCATCAACACAAATTGAACCATTATTTCGTGGTAATCATCAAATTGAATTACTCTTTTGTATATTTTCTATGATGGGTTTGTATTTTGAAATTCAGTTTTTTATATCTTTGTAATTTGATCATTTTAAAGGTACACCAACTGATGATATTTGGCCATCATTTCATAAACATTCTTATTTTAATGCTGATTTTCCACGATGGCCAAAACGAAATGATCATTTATATGAATTGACAAAACTCATTGGAGCAGAAGGTTTAGATTTTCTAAAATGTTTACTTGTTTATGATCAAAAACGACGATTAACAGCAAGAGCAGCTTTACAACACCCATATTTTAATCGATAAAACTAGATTTTCTTTTTGAATTTTATAATAACTATAAATACAGAATAGTTTTTCTATGACTAAGCAGTATTTGTTAGATGTGATCACAAAGTGGATACTTGATGATGTGACGATATGAATTTGTTCATGAAAACATGGCTTAAGATAGTCATCAATTGACAGTAATCACTTTTCATAGTAATTTTGAGACAAAAAAAAACAATTGTAATTCGTAGCATTGCTTGTCACATTCGTGATAATGAAGAAAGCAAAAAATATTAGAGAAATTCATAATAAAATCTTCAATTCAGGACTGCCAATAAGTTATTTGAAACTTAATGGCAGATTTTTTTTTAAAGTGCTAACGACCATTTTTTGAATAACTTTTGATCACTTTGAGCTTTCGAGCTGTGATTTGCACTGTTCAGTAGAACAAGGCGGGAGACATCTACCTATATAAGATTTATTGAAGGCGTGACTTTTCATCATAGTCATTTGGAATCAAATTATTCTAGATTGTAGCCCATGCATTGTCCTATATAGGGTATAGGGTAATTCCGTGGGGTTTATACCACTTTGGTGGAAGTGATCTCCGATTTTGATTTTGATCCTCCATTTTATCGGAAGACAGTCTGGAAAGCATATAGCAAAAAAAAATTACGAACTTGTCCTACAAATTTCCAGCGCTCATCACGAAAACGAGGTACATGTATGAAATCAGATAATGTGAGCAGCGAATTCGGATATTTCTTTCTGACATTCGCTGGCGCCATCTGTGTTGGATGCAGAATTAAATTCTGCATCGAATAGTCCGAGTTTCAAGCGGATCGCATCGGGAAAATATAGAGTTTGTGTCAAAATACTGTGTTTTTGGTACCTAGGATATCCTACGTGTAACTAACTTATACGCAGTGTTTTTAATGAATGAGTGTACTCAGCAAAACAACGAGTATGGTACCCTAATAAAAAAATATTTACACACTGTTTTACACGCTGGTGAAAAAAGTAGCGTGTACGCTGTACACACTGAATTTTTATTTTACACTTTGATTTTTCTATTATCTCCGTGCTTCCGATATATGTACAAAAATATAGTTTATATATTGAACGCCATGAAAATTTTATACGTAGATTCGGTTTAATTTGAAATAAGACAATAATTAACACGTTGTAATGATTTGTATTGAAACGTGCCGTTGTTCATTCACAACATCATCAGTTAAGAAAATTAATAGATAAAAAATCCAATAAAAAATTTAAAATAAAAATTACAAGAGTACAATTGCGCTCTTGTAATTTTCATTTTAATTTTTTTATTTGTTTTATTTTATCTATTAATTTTCTTAACTGATGATGTTGTGAATGAACAGTGGAACATCTCAGTATAAATGACCAAAATGTCTCAAATTGAAGTAAACTTCGTTTAACTTTCATTTTTAAGTGTTGTACATAAAAATTTATTGTATAGTTGAAAATTCGTATTTGAGCTCTATCTATTTATGTTTCATATAGTGTTGCTATTTTTGTTTTATTTTTTAAATATTTATGTGTCTACAAGTGTGGATAAATAGAGTTTCATAAAAATATCAGTTGATGTTTTTCATTCAGTAAAAGTCCTTTTTGTGATTTGAAAACGTTTTATTTTTGTTTTTTTTTCAAATCATCTTCTCTTCATTAAAATGAAAAATGAAATAAAAGATTTTTAAATAAAAAGTGTCTTTTATGGACGGAAAAAAGTTTCGCATTTCTTGTATATTTTGTACACTTTGCTACAAAAAACCAAGTGTACAGATACATGGTGTTCTAAAAAACGCAGTGTACGCATACATTCTATTTCAGATTCTCATTAAAAACATTGCTTATACGTTTGTTAGTGGTGATAACCGCTATCGAAAGTAAAAAGTACTTAATAGATGTCGCGATTTTACCTGTTGATAAAGTATTCCATTCTGAGTTAGGTTAAAAAAGGCCAAAGCTTTTCATATTCGTAATAAAAAGTAAGATGGGAATACACTGTGATTCATATGTTCTTTCACCTAATATATACAGTGAGTACCAAAATTATTCAACAAGGTTTATTTTCAATTTTTTTCCGCTGTCTTGAACGCAAGAAATAATCCAAATAGTGATTCTGAAAGAGAAAATTATTTTCGATCAGAATATAAATGAATAAAATCCATAATTATATTCCTTTAGGTGAAGTCTCTAGAAAACCCAAAACCTGCTTTTTCAGCATCCAGAATCCGCAAAGATTATTTAATTTAGACTGCATATAACGATAGAAAAAACAATTCTCTACAAAATGAGATGTCTCCGAACTCTGTACGTTGTTTTTTTACTGAGATACAGCAACTTAACGGAAGCCTCTGAAGCTTCTTTTTTACCATTTTCTATGAAAAAAACTTTTTTTTTAATAATAATTAAGTTGCTGTATCTCAGCAAAGAAACAACATACAGAGCTCGGAGACATCTCATTTTGTAGAGAATTGTTTTCTCTATCATTCTATGCAGTCTAAATCAAATAATCTTGCGGATTCTGGGTGCTGAAAAAGCAGGTTTTGGATTTTATGGAGACTTCGCCTAAAGGAATGTCTAATTATGAATTTTATTCACTTATATTCTGATCGGAAATAATTTTCTCTTTCAGAATCATTATTTGGAGTATTTCTAGAGTTTAAGACAGCAGAAAAAAATTGAAAATATACCTGGTTGTATAATTTTGGTACTCACTGTATATATTAGGTGAATCGTATTTCATTTGTACAATTGTATCCATTGTACTAAATGACAAATATTTTTTGTTTCACAGCTCCAATTCACTTGAAAATTTGGCAGAATGCTACTCTTGATGTCTTCCTACACTTCTGAAAGTTTCAGCAGTCTACACCGCTTCCATCTCGAGTTATGCCTCTTGAAAATTAAAAAAGAACAAAAAATTGGCGTCACCACTCGATGAAGTTATAATATTTTACAAATAAGAAAAGTTTATTATCGCGCTTTCTTTATTATAGATATATAGGAAAAAGTACAGCGAATCAGATTATGACTTGAGTTTTCTTTCAAAACGCTATCTTTAATAAATATATGAAAAATATCGACTTGACAGACACTTTCTCTTGTTTTGTCCCGTCATCTCAAAATATGATTTTCTGTTAAGAGCAATATATTGACTGACTTGGAACAATTTTAAAATGAAGACTAGTTATCGGAACAACTTCTCTGAAAATAATTTCTAGACTGCATCAAAATCTTAAATGGGTACGAGCGAATAAATTTTTAAAAAGCCAAATATATACTTACTTTGTTCCGTCATATTTTGAATTTTGTGACTTGAATATCTTTTAATTGCATTGATAATTTTGCGCGAAATTTATATCATCTTTTACTCTCTATGTTTCCTACTTCTGGTAAAAAAATCAGCCTACTCATGTGTTCTAGAGCTAAGCTATTGGCAAATTATATGTGAAATGTCCCGTCATGTAAAAACTTAAATATGTCAATCATTAGTAGGTTAGTTATTAACTTATAATAGCCCATTCGATTCGTCACCTGTCGCCGAATCTAATAGCATACCTTTCAGAGTGAAGTATTGCTTTGTAGAAAAACAAGTTACAAATATACTCCGCTTTCTAAATAAGCAATACTTCACTACTATAATGTGTGACGTTTAGCGACCTTCTTCATGAATTACATTTATTCGAATGTTCAACCATAAAACGTTCGATAAATCTAATCGAGCTGCATCGATTTATGTACGATTTGTTCTATGTCATTGAAAAGTACAAAATAATTTGACCGAATACTGTCACAATGCATATAAATACATATGTATGCATTTTTCACAATATTGTAATGGTGATCTTATTTTTGAGCAAAATGTAGGGAAAACAAGTTTCTCTTACCTTTTTAAGGTTGCTCTATCAAAATATGTAGCTATTTGTTTAATATGAACACTTTCATTTTTTCGATTTTTTTTCATTCCAATTGTACAAATGAAATACGATTCGCCCATATATATATCTAAAATCATCTGTCAAAATAATCTCCGAGATTGTTTATAAAGAATGTTCTATAAAAAATTGCATGTTTTGATCTCCCCTACTTCCAGAAAAGTTCGGTTTTGACTGATCCTGTCTTTCTCCTGAACATCTAGTTTGCAAATATTTTATACAAAGAACCTGTTTGTTTATATATAATCTTTTTCATTGAAAATAGATGTTCTATGTTTAGAATGGAATATGTATACACTTCAAAATCATTTTCATCACATCATGTCGAATTTTAAGTATTATAACCAGTTTTTGTCTGATTGTTTGAAATTTTACTGAATTTGACAACTTTTCTATTAAAATTTGACGAGTTCCTATTGTCAAATTTTTGATTTTGAATATACTTTAGAAAAAAAACTTGGCATGTGAAACTTCCTCCTTTTCACATCGGAATTCTCCTATTCCTCCTTTTTATCACTTAAGTTGTGGAACCAGTATTTTGAATATTTTAAACAAAAACATTTGGTGATTCTACAGTTCAGAAGATATTTGAAGTAATTGAGTATATTACTGCGGTTGACTGTAAAAATATCGAAAGAAAAAGTGTCGAAAGGGAAAAATATCGAAAGGGAAAAATATCGAAAGGGAAAAATATCGAAAGGCAAAATGTCGAAAAAATAATATCGACATGAAAAATAGTCAGCAAATATTTAAGAGTTATGAATAGAATGAACATGTTTTATTATATGCGTTGGTGTTAACATTCTAACAGTGATCAAATAAAGATAATGAAAAAACAATCGATCATATATCATTTTTTTCGCTTAGTAACTGTAAGTGATCAACCATCGAAGTATTCTATATCATTTATAGCACCGTCATAATATAGTTCACCAAGATTATCTATACGATGTTCAATAGCAATTGTTTTAGCTTGTTTTGGTCTAGCCCCTAAAGCTGTAGTAAATTAAGTAAAAGTTTTCCTTTATTTGAATTTATAAATGGAATAGCTGGAGATTTTGCTTGAGTTACATCAGTTGAAGATGCAGTAGCTTCAACCATGGCAATAAAATTTTAGTTATATAATAGTTCTTCGTTCAACTCTTTTATGTAATTTTAATCAGGTATTAGTCATCGCCATTACTACTGGTTAAAACTCTACACTAGTAGAATTATAAGAAAAGTAACAATGAACTATACGTGATTAGATTCACCATTTACTTGAGACATATTTTTTTTCGATATTTTCCTGTTTCGATACTCGTCCACTTCAATATTTACTTTTCGATATTTTTCCTCTTCTATATTTTTCTCTTTCGACATTTTTCCTTTCGATATTTTTCTTTTCGACGTTTTTCTCCTCTTTTTTTCGACATTTTTCTCTTTCGACATTTTTCCTTTTGATATTTTTCCAGCACATCACCGAATTGACAATTAATGAATGACAGAAAATAATAGAAAGAAAGAAAAATAACATAATTTGTCATCGTCTAAGGTCAACACATTCAATATCTTTTTTTTTCTTGCTTTTACAGACGGCAGTAAGAAAATAAAGACATACATATTGAATAAAATCAATAGACAACATTAGTCTGATATGAATACTTCGACAAAGAACAATATCAATATTCTCGATTTCCCCAATGAAATATTGCTTATCATTTTAAAAAAATTGAGTATGATAGATGTACTCTATTCATTAGTGGATGTCAATGAACGATTTAATCGATTAATATTTGATCCTCTTTATATTCATAACCTTGATTTAACTGTGAAATCATCGTTTATTCATAATTCTTCAACAAATAATCAAATACTTGATAGAATTTGTGAAAAAATCTTACCTCAAATTCATGACCAAGTAAACGAACTCACTTGTGAATCACATTCAATCGAACGTATTCTAATTATTGATTATCCTGAACTTTACTCATTATCACTTATTAATTTTCAAAAAGAAACATTTTTTCAATATTTAACAGGTATATACTATTTAATTTTCTTTATCTTAATCAACCAAACGTATATTATGACACATGAACTGATGATCATATGTTCTTGACAACATTTTGATTGCGGACATTTTCTTGCCAATTGGCCACATTTTAGAATTCCTATAAGATTTATATGAAGAAAAATCAGTAATGAAAGAAATTTTAACATTTAGCTATAGCTAGGTTGATAATTAAGATCATTCTTATTGGTTATATTGAGTATGATGATCTATCGATATTCAAGAGCAGGCTTCCCGATTAGGGAGGGGCTGTGGGAGGTCTAGCTCCCGCCCCCTCAAAAAACTTGAAAAAATGTCCGACTTTCTGCGAAAATTTCTTATACTTTCTGCCAAATTTTTGAAAATTTGATAGTAATATCTGGCAGAAACTCACTTTTTAAGCACTAATCACCATTTTTCTGACAGAAAGTCGAAGGACAATACTTTTTGTCAACAAAATCTCGCAGAAAATCAATGAAATTAGCATTTGTTGTTCAGTTTCTGTCGGAAAGTCAACTGAGGCACTTTCTACCAAAATTTTTAGATTTTCTGCCAAATTTTTAGCTCCTCCCACTTTTCAAAACAATCGGGAACCCTGTTCAAGAGCCCTTCTAAATATGCGTGTTTTGCTTGAATATATATATATATAATCATTTGTTCTGATTTTAATCTTCGAGGACATATCAATATTCTTGAGCTTTCTCTTTCTCATATCTGATCGAGATCCAATGATTTGAATGTATTGGATAATAAGAATTTACTTGACTATGATAAACTTTCACGATTAAAAATATTCAGGTAAAACAGATCTTCAAATGAAAAAAAAAACGAACTAGACTATCCATGATGTCTGATACTAGACTAATTCGAAGAAGATAATATCCTCTATTAAATCGAGATATTTGTAACTATGTATTTTTACATTGTTGTTATAATGCAAACATTTTTTTAAGTTGTCGTCATTTTTTGTCTGTTCTGGATGTCGTACTTTATGAATATTTGCTGATTCCAATTAAAGAAGCATGTCTTCAATCAAGAGTACATAGTTTTTCTGTATATTTTAGGTAATAAAATTCTTCGTTATCTTCTCACTAATCAAATTACACATCTCGTTATCGACATAAAAAATGAAAACATAGCAGAATTATCTGATGAAAATCAATTAAATATATTTTCATTAATATTATCTTTATGTAAACGATTAACCGATTTGACCTTTTGTGAATATTCATCTAATCAAAGATTAGCGATTTCAATTTTTAATCTTCCATCAATAAGTTGTGTGTCTTCAACTCTTATGAAATTGAATATTGTTGTTAATACTTTTGATGATTGCCTTTATCTTCTTGATGGACATCTCGAATGTTTATCCACATTAGTCATCAAAATACAAAGAATATCTCGTTCAGTATCAAACATAGATAATACAGTAAGTATATTTCAATCTCTTTGTGAGAAAAAGAAGCAAAATAAACAGATAGATAATCTTATTCTTATTTTTTAGAGAAAACTTCTAAAATTAAAATATTTTTCATTAACTTCGGTTGTTCACACAATTTATTATAATGAACAAATTGTTCCATTACTTAATCGAATGATAAATCTTGAAAAATTAACATTATTTATTACGATATTTAGACGTGATTCAAATTATATTGATGGTGCTTATTTATATGATGAAATTCTCGTTTATATGCCACAACTAAACAAATTTACTTTCAGTATAATCACTCAAATTTTTACCGACAACATTAAAATTGATTTTCCATCAAACGACAATCTTCAATTGAGTTTTACTAAAAAAGGATACAATCAAGTTGGTTCGTATGCCGATTTTGATTCAACGAAAAACGTAGCTAGATGTCATGTCTATTCACTTCCATACGAATTTAAAATTTTTATTAATCTAAATAACTTTTTTCAAGGTGGCATGTTTAGTAATGTTCGATCTTTAGAAATGAATGATGGAAGTCCATTCGAACATGAATTCTTCAAACTTGTGTCTCAAGATTTTCCTTTTCTTGAAAATTTATATTTAAGGAATTTTCATCCACAAAAAAATAAGCAACATTCATCTACATTGATTTTATTTCCTCATCTTGTCGCACTTAATCTAAAGCTAGCATATGTGGATTATGCTGAACAGTTTCTCTTCGAGAAAAACACTCGTTTGCCTCGTTTACTGAAACTCACCATTAGATATGAAACACTTGCAATCGTAACAAATAATTTCACCAATGATGCAGCACGTCTCAACTGTGTTAACTTGCAAAGTATTCATACAAATGAATCGTTTGTTCGTCCAGAAAATTTTCATCAATATTTTCCTTTATTGTAAATAGTAATTCTTTTGTTAAAATTTGTTTCAATAAAGAATATTTTGATAAAGTTGATTATATATTTTCGATCATGATATACAAAACTGGAAATGATTTTATTCGTTACTATTTTGAATTAATTCCAAGAAAAATTAGTTTCTTTTTGTCTTCTTTATCAGGTGATAAATACAAAATCGATGTTAGAAATATTCTTCAATATTATAGAAAATAATAACTTTTCAGAGATTTTTTTCTTTTTATTTCGAAAAATACATAGGAATAAGCGAGTAAAATTGCTACAGTTATTGTAGCAAGTTCGATCGCAAAAGTTTTGAGAAAATCGAGATTTCATCGTTTATCTATACAGGAATATGTAGGAAATAGTTATATTATAAGCATTTTTGAGACATCCAATATTTATCATTATTCCCTACATAATTTTAATTCCATTGTTTCAACACTAGTTTTATTATCATAATAAGCGTTTCTTTTTCCATAAATATTGGTCTGAATGAAATGTATAAATCGGGACACAGTGGGCAATTTTAAATAGGCAAGCAGAGATTTGATTTTTAAACACTTGAATACACTAAAAAATACTTTATCATAGGTTTTCGCATGTGTTCTTTACTCTGGAGTCGTTTTCAAAACTCAAAAGTACATGAATGTTGGCTTTCCAGAAACCGTTAGTTTTCCAAAGACCATGACACACCGAGTAATTTCTATAGAGCTCATGGGCGTGACTTATTTCGTGTTGAAATCGTCTTTTTCGCATAGTAATACGAGTTTCTCGTGTCTGAATCCAATTACTGAAAAAAAATGAATTTGAAAAATTTTTTTTTAAATGAAAAATTTCTGAGAAGGATCTTTGTCCTAATTTTAAAAAATAAGTTTTTATTTGAAGAAGTAGTATATTATACACGATTCGATGCTGTTTTGCGTGCTAATTCCGATTATGACATTATTTTGGTCTAGATGCGCTTCAGAACTTAGAAAACCTTTCGAAAAACAAGATTGTTTGAAAATCCTATATCGCAGTCCGGAAGTATTTCTGCATACATAATAGACACGTCATGTATAGAAGAATGATTTCTGAAAATCTCAGCCAGATAGGAGCTTTGAAAAAATATGGAAGACTATCTTACTGAACACACATTTTTGGATAAATCTTCAGTACAGAAAGAAAGATTACTTTTGCAACTAGAAAAGAGAAAAAGGAAAATTTTTTAAATGAATCAACAGAGGATATGCTCTACTTTTAAGAATATGTACAATTTGTCAGTCGACTCTTTGTACCTTCTCTGAAAAAGGGTATGGGTGTGAGTGAAGGTGTAAGTTTGAGTTCAGCTGTGGGTTCTTCATCTTTTCCTTATTCTCACACCCACGCCCACGGGTACTTGTAAAAGACGCGATCACCCCCAAATCGGAAGGTGATACTATCAGTAGATAGAGCTCGGCGAGCTGATTCTACGAACACCCACGATCACCCAAAATGGTTGAAAAATAAAAGTCATTTCCAATGCACACTGTTTTTTCCAACCTACGATCACCCATATCTTTTGACAGTGAGTAGGCCTAGTCGAGTTAGGTACATACCCAAAATATTAGACTTTTATATGCTTGCCTAAGAAAAATAGCAGGGACGTACTTTTTCAATTTTAAGCCTTATAATTGAATTTCGCATATTAGTCACTTCACATAATAAATGGCGGTTGGATCTGCTCAATCGAGGATGTGAGATTTTGCGCAATATACGTGGGGCACTACAAAAGTTTTTTCACTAGCCTTAAGGATAAATATTCAGAGGAGGATTTTAATTAATTTTTTCAAAGTACTGTCCTTCAGTATCAATGCATTTATGCATTCGAATAAACCAGTCTTCTTTCGTGAGACTGTCAATGGCTTGTTGTAAAGCAGTTAACATTTCGTTGTCGTCGTTAAACCGAATACCACGTAACTGATTCTTGAGCTTCGGGAAAAAGAAGAAGCCATAAGGACTTAAATCTGGAGAATATGGTGGATTTGGATACTGTTCTACATGATTTTCCAGCAAAAATTCGTTCGTAATCCAAGCTCGATGCGGCCTTGCATTATCGTCATGAAAGATGAGACCTCGAAGACCTCGTGTTTCTCTTCGTTCAGATACAGCTTTGAAAACTTGTGGTAAGCATGTATTGACATACCAGCTTGCGTTCACTGTTGTACCTGTTTCTAATGGAACAGACTTAATTAGACCGGATTTCATGAAAAAAATAGCCGCCATTCTTTTCCCGGCACTTTTGGTTCGATGAATTTTGGTTGGACGTGGATCAGTTGTTGACATCCAAACTTTTGGTTGTTCTTTTAATTCGGGATCATAATGGTAGAACTAAGATTCATCACCAGTTATAATGTCAAATACACAATGAGACTGACCTTCATCAAATCTCTTTAGCGAGTGGTGGCAAAATTGAATTCGCAGCTATTTTTGATCGTCGGTTAGTTTATGCGGTACCCACCGAGCACAAACTTTTAGATTTAAATAATCATGAATAATCGAATTATTTGCTGTGGAACTGATACCCAATATATTTTCTATTTGCTGATACGTCGAATGAGGATCATCTTCAATTATTTTTCGTACAGCATCAATTGTTTGTTCATTAACAGATGTTGAAGGACGACCTGAACGTGGAGCATCTTGAACACTAAAATTATCGCGTTGAAATTCACGAAACCAATTGAAGACTGTGTGATCAGAAGGTGCTTGCTTCCCCCATGCTTGCACCAAACGGGCATGGCTATCCTTGTATGTTAAGCCAATTTTCCAATCATATAAAATCATAGTGCGAAATTGTTCACGTGAGAGTTGAAAACTCATGTCGAAAATGATGCGAGGGTGACATGAAAAAAAAAGAAAAAGTACAACGATGGGTAATGCGTGGACGGCTGAAATTTTGCACATAGTCCTAAATATGTTTAAGTATTATAGCGGAATAGATGTCTTCAAATTACCATTTCTAGAAGAGCTGTATGAAAAAACTTTTGTAGTGCCCTATGTAACATATTGTTGTTGAGGGAAAAGTTTTACAAATTTTGACGCAACCCGTTTTAAAAAATATTGAACCCTCGGTTTTTTATTGATGTTTTACAAAAAGTCCTAAAACGAGCATTTCGACCAACGAGGGTCTTGATAAGACTATATCTCAAGAACGGCTCAACCGATTGAGCTGTAATTTTTTGTGAGCATATATCTCTATGATTTCTACTTAGGATAAAATTTTCAATTCAAAATATTGAGCTCTTGATTTTTTATGACTCATCCAATATGGGCAAAATTCCACATTTTCGGCTACTTGAGTGCTTCATAACTCATGATTGGAATAAGATAGAGATCTGAAATTTTTACTGAAGCTAGAGCTCATTGAGTTGTATCTTCGCTAGAAATTTCAATCCTGTACATCCTTCCTTTCGATCAGTGGGACAATCTCAAAAGTGGTTTTTCAAAGAAAAGTATGGTTTTCAAATGGGGTTTCCTTCCAAGAAATGGGGTAGTTGGAGATTTGAGTTTAAAAAGTTAAAGTATTTGTAAAAGATACGAACACTTCCAAATCTAGAGCTGATACCATGAGCAGATCGAGCTCGGCGAGTTGATTCTACGAACGCTCACGAACACCCAACATGATTGAACATGAGAGTAAGTTCCAAAGCACATTGTTTTTTTCAATCCACGAACATCTATTTATTTTACCAGCGAGCAGGTCAATTCGAGTTAAGTACATACTTAAGATATTAGACTTGTATATGCTAGCCTACGAAAAATAGAAGGGATGTATTTTCTCCTGTTGAAGCATCATAGTTGAATTTTCATTTATCTCGTGTGAACATGTCCAATCGATCTCTATTATCAATTACTGTATTTGATAGTATAAGGTGTCATATAAGCTAGCATCAACATTGTATTCTCTTCTTTGGTTGCTGGAGCGCTTTTTTTTCGCTGTCTCTCAATTCTTAGCCTGCCATACTGATACCTGTGCTATACTTCTCCTCTTCTTACCTTTTTTCTAACCATTGAATCTCACATTGTTGTCCTATATCATGCTGTTCTTCGGTGTACGTATCTGAGAGACTCCGAAGAATAAAGAAATTATCATAAGAATTAGTTTATTCAATAGATAGTATTCACTTTGATATTATTATTATTATTATTCTTTTCATTCCATATCAACATGAATTTTTCCCACTGATACGATAATTCACGTATGGATTATGTGTATTTGTTTTGATGATTTAGAGATTATTGAAGGTAGGGAGTTAAATTTGGTGGCAGATCGCTCCGGCTACTTCTCATTTGCGAACATGAATAAAATAGAATTTGAAATTAAAATTATTGTTTCAAATTTTCGTTCGATATGATGTTGAGAATTTAATTTTTTTATTAGAAATGAAAATTTAAATATTTTAATTTCGAACTTTTGATTAATAAATGCTAAGATTAAAATAGTTTGTTTTCTGAAATTTTTCTGAAAAGTTTTTGTAAATTGTAAAACGAAAGTTTTTAAAATTAGCTTTGTTGTTGCAATTTGTAGAGAACGTAAGGTATCGAATAGAAAGAGTTTCACAATGAAATAAAAGTTTTGTAATTTGTAGAGAACGTTACCTTTTTGAATGGAAATGTAACTCTATTTAGTAAGATGTAGAGTTCGCTGTTGTTTTCAATACAAAACTGTATTAATTTTAAGAAGATGTAGAGTTCGCTATTGTTTTCAATAGAAATTGCATAGAATTTAGGAAGATGTAGAGTTTGCTATTGTTTTCAATGCAAACTGTATTAATTTTAGGAAGATGTGGAGCTCGCTATTGTTTTCAATACAAACTCTATTGATTTTAGGAAGATGTAGAGTTCCCTATTGTTTTGAGAAGAATTGATGTTTTTCAGTTTCATCGGTAAAAATATTCGTTTTCATCATTCAAACTAAAATGCGCCAAAAATAGTGTATGCTTCTTGAGTTAGACGACTCTTCAGTTTTTTAAATGCGTGATCTGTTTTTTAACGTAGTTGTACGAATTATATTGTTTTAACTCAGTATGATTGATAACTAGGATATGTAAAGATTCCTAACAACGAGGATCGATAATATCATACTGTTGTTGAAAGATTTTATAAATAAAAGATTTATAATGACAATCAACTGGTGATACGTTAAAACATGGATATTATTTTATCATATTTTAATATCGAATTGTTTCAGATCTGAAGCTACAATAAGATCGCATTGATAATATTGATTTTGATTGTCATTATCATTTTTTATATTATAAATGTTTTTTTTATTGGAAAAGTTTGAATTATTAAAAATTAGTGCCTCAGTAAAAAATATCTCCATTATTTTTTTTTATATGTTAACGATTTTAGAGTCTAATATAGTGTTGTAAGAAGGATTTTAAGTATTGAAATATTGTCTATTTATCTATATAAAAAATTGTACCATCTCAATAAATAGAGCAACCTATGCATGAAAATTAAAAGGGAATAATATTGGCAATTTATGTTTATTTAGTTTTTTAAAATGATATTAATCAGCGTTCTTATTCAACATTTTGTAAATATCGTATAATGGAAATCTATTTTGCATGGTATTCATATACAATCTTGAATATAAAGGTTTCTTTATTCGTTTTTCTTAAGAATAAACAGTAAACTTATAAAAATTTAAAATGTTTCATAGTGATATAAAAATATTTTGAGCGGATATATTGAATAGACTTATAGACACTAAAATGCAACACTATGATAACAGCAAATTGAAAAAATATCTCAATTAAAATAATTAGTTTGTAAATAAGATTGTTTTTCAAAAATTTAGAACAATGTTTTCATTTGGACTTTTAAAAAGCTATTTTATTACATTTATCTACGGAAAATTTTTATTAGGTAGTGGTTTTTCTTGGTTTCATTTAAAGAGGATACAATAAGGGAAATGAATAGAATACGAAAAATTAAGAAATAAATGTCAATTGATGAGTACTGTTTCGAAAATAATTTAAATAAAATATAAAACAAAGTGTCTTTAACATAGAGAAGGATAGTCTGTATGATACGTGCAAATTGCTATGATGATCTAGGATCATTGCGAGATGTTGACATGATTACAATGCGTAAAAAGAAAGAAGGTGTGGTGATTTCAATCGTGATTATTTAAAATTTTCTTTGATGTATATACTAATTGTCGTTAACGAGCTGATAAAGTTGAAATGATTCTATCTGTATTTGAATAATCGGTAACTTATTTAAATAACTGCATCGCTATTTATGATATTGTACATCCATTTAAACAATGACATAGCTTTTTAAAGACAGAGATTGCTATTTTAAGTTGCATGACTATTTAAAAATATCCAGTGTTACTTAATAAATGTTTAGTAAATAGCCATATAATTTCAATTTCTTAATTAAGCATTAATAATAAAATTCGAGCAAGGGGTGGCAAAAAAGACATTACTAATAAAAATTTGAGCAAAGGGTGAAAGAATAAATAAATAAGTAAAAGTCTATGTTTATGTTGTGCCTGTTAAATAGAAAAATATATATCGATTTTAATGATAGATCGTTGAATAAGTATAACTAAAGAAAGATCC